GGGCGTTTTTACGTCGCTTTACAGTAACTCTAAAACACGTGTAACAGTCCCTTTAAAGGTTTAGAATATTTAATAATAAACTATTTTCCTTCGTTTGATTTAATTTTAGAAAGTCCCATTTATATTTGGGGACTGAAAAATGTAAAAGAATGAATTGAAATAAAGGAGATGTAAAGAATTGTAATCTTCTAACAAAAGGTATTGTCTGATCCTTAAATACAATAATTCTTTTTAATTTAATCTTTCAACAAAACAAATCTAGAGCAAGAATTCAGGGTTTCGGCTTGATTTATTAAAATAAATATGGATTTACATCAGAATTTTTAATTTTTATATTATTAAAACACTTAAGAATGGTTACATGAAAGTATATGCACATTGTTTATATTTCTATACTGGGTCTTCACTCAGATATAAAACATAAAACTAATTGAGTCTGCAGGGGGAGTTCACTGCTTTTATGACCCCTCACAAGCACAGTGTGGTCAAAGTGGACATTGGTCAAACCACGTTGACAAAAAAGTGAGTCCTTGTTTTTATTTTACCGTGAAATTACAAATTATATGAAAAAACTATAAAAGCAAAAAATCATTAACTTTGCAAAACTTAAAATTTATTTTCATATATTTCCTAAATTCATCCTTTTTTCCTATGTTTTAAGTTTCAAAACCTGATTAACCGAATTTAAAACCTATTATTGTATTGTATTGTGTCATATTCCAAAGAATGTTATATTTTAAAGGGCAAATCCACTTTCAATTGTTTAAACTATGTCTCAGTCTCCACTTTTTTAGATATTGACATTTTATAGGATTATTTTGCGTTACAGGATTACCAAAGACGACCTATTTTTGATGAATAAAAAGTTTCTTTTCCAAAATACCGATTTATTATATGACTCACGACAATTATTTTTAAATATTCTTAAAAAAGAATTGATTTATTTATCAAACATTAATAAAATTAACTATTAATTTATTATCAGTTCAAATTAAGTCCAAATTCCCTTTTATGGTGACCATACTGCAGCCCCTCCCTACCCAAACCAACTGTTATACAGTGAAACCCTTAATAAGGAATACATCGAAAGAATTCATCAAATGTCGTATTCTTCACTTTCTGATAATGGAATGTTGCAGATATTTAGTTTTTAAATCAAATGATTATATGGAACTCTTTAAAACTGTCTCCGCATATTCATGGCTATTTATTTATTTTCGCAAATACTGAAATTTACGTAATATAGTATAAAACTCATTGAAAAATTGTCAAGACGACATTTGATAAATTCTTCCGATGTATTCGTTATTAAGGGTTTCACTGTATATAAAGCTTGCGTTTTTCACTTAAACGTTATGGTTTTCAAATATGTCCTATGTCAATGGATGCAATGCCTGGAACATTTGACATAAAGTAACAAATATTTAAACAGTTGAAATATAAGAATATATATTTGGATGAATTGGTGGCAAGCTTTGAAGTGTATATTTACATTCTGTAACCATATTCTTTAATAAAACACCCCCAGGAGGAAGCGGGGGGCTGGAGAAGGGGGGGGGGCATAGAGGAAGGGAAGGCTGGAGGAAGGGGGGGGGCTGGATCAAATATCAGGAAATATTTTATTTATTCTTCAACTTTATATTAAAATTATAGAAATATCTTATCTCAAACATTCAGAATTTGAGTAGAGATGGGGGGGGGGGAGGGCTATACAACCACTACATAGTTTTCGAGCCGCAATCAAATCTTGTCAATCTTAGAACAACAACGTTCTTGTTTTCATGCAAGCTTCTGCTCTCTTTACTTCTGATTAGGTTCAAATACAAATAGAGAATTTGATTATTCGCCTCAATTTTAAAATCCCTGTATTTTTACAACTTAATATGAAAAATCTTGCGTTTAGAAAAACAAAAATCTATGACACTGAAGAAAAAGGAGTAGAAAGATTGAGTAGAAATGAGCACATTCAACCTTTTTCATTTTGTTCGTTCATCGTTTGTGAACGACCCATTTCTTAAGTTTTTTTCAATCGTTTAAAAATCGATTTTGTTTGTTCCAAAAATTATCGTTTATTTTCCATTTTTCGTTGGTTTTCTTATTTAACAATCGTTCAGTTAAATCGTACATTCAATAAAATCGTTTGTTCAGTAATTAAAATTAAATTTTATTCAAAAATGTTTTTGAAAAATTCGTACGATTTTAAAAAAGTTTGTTCCAAAAAATTGTTCGTTCATTAAAAAAATTTTTTTCCTCCAAATATTTAAGAAAATTTAAAAAAAAAAACTTTTGTTTGTAAGTTCGTGTGGACGATTTCAAATAGTTTGTATTGTTTTTGTTCGTTTTTTAAAAGAGATCATTTTTTCCATTTTCTAAACAATCCATTTCGTTCGCCCATCGTTCGTTTTTTTCTTAACGACACCCTTTTCCCGAAAATTTTGTTCGTTTTCAAAAATTTTGTTTGTTAAAAAAAACTGCTCATCTCCAGTGGGAACTGGTGAGTATATTCAGTTCAAAGAATTAGGTGGCTCAAACTTGAGAGTCCGGAAATTGTGGCTCGGAGATGGGCTCGAATATTGATTTAAAGGTATGATTGCTCAATCATAACTTCTCTTATTGAAGAGCTATTATAGAAGCAAACATTTTTCTTGTTGATGTAAAACCAGATTTGAGTATTTGACACAAACTCAAATTTTTCAATTCCTATATCCTTGCAATCTTATGGTGTAAACCTTGGACATGTAATAAATCTAGGTCCCGATAAATCTCCCAATACTTGACTTTCAGTCTAATGTCAGTAACTCTGACTCAATCTCTAGCCAAAACTCTGGCTCTGTATACGTCTGTCTAAATCGACTAAGGGTACTATACTACTTTATTAATACAGGTAAATTTAAGCTGACCGGAATGGCCGATCAGGGTCAACATGAACATAGATAAAAAGATAACGGAACATAGATAATAAAGATTGTACTAACATGATATCATAATTTATTACAGACATTTCAAATTTAGTTTATTTACTTGATTGAACAAAATTCATAGTTTAAAATATCTAGGTTCTGCAACATTGGGTTGCAAAGATATAGGAAAGAGAAAACTAGAGTTTGTGGCAAAGACTCTATGCCCTTGTTTTAAAAATACTGTAAAATCTGCAGAAGCTACGAGGTGACAAGGTTGTAGCCGCAGTTGTAGTAGCAGTTTTGTCTAGATTGTAGTGCGATATTTAATATGGACACTTTTAAATTTGAGAATAAATGCTTAATTTTTTAATTAAAAATATCTCTGCAGAGTAAGGCCGCCACATGAGATTTGAATAAAAATATATTTTTGTCTCAAGTTCCTCCTCCATCTTTTATTTGAAATACACTAAATACAATAAATACTATACTTGCAAAATTTTATCCCATGATTCATGAATAATTTTAGAATATTCTATTGAAGAATATGTTTACAGTTGATATTCACTTTAAAGCTCGCATCCAATCCATATCTGAAATATCCACTCACACATTTAAATATTTATATATTAAAACTTTCAATTTTAATATTTAAGAGTTTTATTGGAAATACAAATATCTATATTTTATAATTCAGATAATCAGTCAATTATAAATATATTTTCCAAAAATTAAATCAAATCAAATCATTTCCTTTTTCTGCAATAATAATTATATCAGATATTAATATAACACTATACATTACAAAAAATATATTTATATAACTACGGGAGCAGGAGAGCTTAAGTCCTACTCAAATCAAATCAAAGCAAATCATATATTTTTACGAAGTAATGATTATAACAGATATTATCAAAACATTATGTAAAAATACTGCAGAATTAGAGCTTAACCCATTAGTGACGAGACGGTCAATTTTGACCGGGTAAGATTTTTATTTTTTAGCGCCTTCATTTTCAAACGTCGTCCAAATGTCGTCCTGTTTCATTCCCGCCCTTCCTTTAGATATGCCGAGTATCGCCTATAGGTTGCAGGCATGTTACAGGTCGATAGGGTATTAAACAAAACATAAAAACAACAAATATTTGTAAAAGTAGCTAAACTGCTTGGCGTTACCAGTTGAATATTTTTTTTAAGTGCAAATTTTATTTATTCATATCTTTTATCCTATGCTATCCCCGGAATACCCCTGGGTTCCCTAAAAAAAATGTCAGTCCATTCGGTCCAACCGTTTGGCCGGCTATAGGGAACATACGAACGTCTTGTTTTATTATATAAATTACTTCAGCAGGAGTGCTTAAATGCCTATTCAAAAAAATAAAAAAATCGTAAATTTTTGTCAAGAAGTATGAAATAGAAGAGAGATATAACTGACGCAGCCCGCCCTAACCATAGGGTTATAAATGCTAAGCAGACGGTACTCCACTTGAATAAGAAATATGCTTTCCTTAACTGTCTGATTGTACAAATACCGCGTACATGTTTTCAGAATATGTTATTGAATACATTGCACAGGGAAAAAGTAGGCTGAATAACGCCAAACAAACACTTTTTTTGGGATGCGAAAATAGTGGCAATACAAACGTATTTTTTGTATAGGGGTGTCCCAAAAAACATGGGAAGTCAGTGACGAATTAAATATCGTCTTTGTTACTAATTAGCAATGTAATACCTAATTTCAAAAGCCATGTCTGCTAGAGTTTATTTTATGAAAAGGGTAAAAGACTGCAAAGATGTGTCTATAATGTCTCCGCAAGATGAACAGTGAAGAAGGACAAGTTTACTCTGTTTATATACTGTAATTTTCTTGTTTTACTAAGTACAACTGTATGCAGTCAAAACATAAATAAACAAGATGTGAACATAGCAGACGAAACTCTTACAGATTAAAGCTTTCTCAGAAGGCATCACTTTACTAAATCAAAGAATTATCTAAAGATACGATCTCGAATTCGTCACTGAATTCCCATGTTTATTGGGACACCAGCTGTATCATATATATTTTTATTCTGCTTCTCCAAAATCTTCTAAATCAACTTTTACCTTTTTGAGGATCTTTGAGCATCTTCTCCTTGACCAATATAAAACAAAATAAAAAAGTTCACAGATTTGTAGAATTTTTTTTATGGATTTTCTAAATTTTACTTTTGAAAGTTTAACTTTGAAAATTTTACTTTAAATGAGCATTTGTGTATACCTTTCCTGGAGTTATTTGAGGTTCCACACAAAATTTGGGCCCAATCGGTTCAGTCGTTATGACGTTTGAGGATGAATTGAAAAGATAAATTTCTAAGGCTTGGAAGAGTAAAATAATGCGGTTGAATACATAATAGATGGAAAATATTATAAATAGGTTTCTTTATATTTCCATACACAACTCAGAGAATGTACAACATGGATGGGAGGAGGTTAGATAAGATTTGTTTTTATTATTATAAAAATCCAGTTCTTATCATGTTTTTATTAATGTTCTTAAGAATTTCGAATTGAAATTTTCGTTGTAAATTTTAAAAAATCCTGTTTACTTTCAATGTTAAGATTTGTTGAAAATGTGTACAGGGTTACTCACAAAAACTGAGACTTTATTAAGACGACTGAACGAAATTAGTCAATTCTTAATGTTTATATTTATATATTATTAAACAGCTGAAATCTTATTTAATGTTTATTTCTTTAAAGATTCATAAAATATTTCATTGGACAGCCTCGACATTAAATGTCGCAACACAAATCCATTTATAATTTTTTGCAGCCCTAAACTTATACATATTAAAAATGAAACGCGCTTGTTTCTTGCTAAGTTTTAAAAGGCGTAATTGGCAAAATACTGATCGATTTTTTCGACTGGAGACTGGAGTATAATCCTATGTGGGTATCCCTGTATTATGAAATATTCAGAATGTAATATTTAAAGAGTTCAGGTCATCATTAAAGTATAATCCTATGTGGGTATCCCTGTATCATAAAATATTCAGATTGTAATATTTACAGAGTTTAGGTCATCATTAAAGTAGAATCCTGTATCGTGAATAAATCCTAACGCTGTGTTCGAAATTGACGAAGATAGTTCGACCTACCGAACACACTGTTCTAGATTGACAAGTTTTTATAACAATCTGTGAGAATAATGCAACAGTGAGATCTCGACATTATTCTACATTATGTGTTTGCCATCTGTTTATAGAAGGAAAGGACAAAAGTTACCAAATATCTGGAAATCAAGAAAATATGCTGGCCTAAAGTTTTCTGATATTACTAATAAGATAATGGAAAATATTTTTTAGATTAATTTCTTTTCAAGATTAATATTTCTTTTTCATTTATTTTTATAATGAAATTTTGTTGTGAAAAAATAATAAACCAAATAAATAAATTTTAAATTCAAAAATCAAAATAAAGTTTAACAATATAATAACACAGTTTTCTTTTTCCAAAAAATCTGTTCTAACAAAAAACAATGAATTATTATTATTTATTTACAAAATAGACGATACAGACGAAGATAAACCGTGTCGCTGAACAGAAAAAACCGGTTCCAATTGAACACCGGCTAAAATATCGAAACACTGAATACAATTTCAAGCGGAACCAGCCATGTTTACGCCGTGTCTCAAACTCTTTAAATTTGGCTCCAGGGTTGTTTTCTCTCTTATTGCGCGTTGGGGAGCATCCTGATCCTTATCTTGTGACACACCATTGACATTTCTTGTGACACACCATTGACATTTCTTGTGACACACCATTGACATTTCTTGTGACACACCATTGACATTTCTTGTGACACACCATTGACATTTCTTGTCTTCCGAATCATATTCATAGGCTAGGATCGGAATGTCTCATGAGTTCTGAAACTAGTAAAATGATTCTGGGATGTCTGTCAAATAGTTTAGTTTTTTTTCCAAAATTTTGACAAGAACATGCGATGATAAAGCAAAGCTTAAAAAGAATATGGATTATAATGGAAAGAGAGCGATGCTGTTCTCTTTCTAAAAAAACTTTCTTTTTCTTGATGATTATGCGGTTGTGCAAATTTTACCATACTTATTTTTGCTATGAAAAATGATTTTAGTGCAAAATGACAACTTTTATGTACTATATAGGCTTTTCGCGCTCAACTCTTAATTTTCAACTCTTAATTGTGGCTTTAAAAAAAATAAAAAAAAAGTTCGCTGCGGATTTCATAATATTTTTTCGCGCATTTTCAAAATTTTACAAAAAAACTTTTAAACACAAACTTTTAAAATTTTAATCATTCATAAACGTTCCTTGGAGTCACGTGAGGTCCCACACAAAATTTGGGCCCAATCGATTCAGCTGTTTCGACGTTTATTGGATACAAACAAACAGACAAACACCCACCCACCCAAGCCTAATTTATATATAGATTTTGTAATTCACTTATTCAAGCTTTTTAAGAGATGGAAAGGTTGTTCAATGTCCATCAATGTTCAAACTTGTGATAAATCAACAAACAAAATTAGAATGTTTTGTCGTAAAGCTTTTGTCCACAAGCAAGCAAATATTTTTAGTTATTTGCTATTTTTCAGAAACTTGTTTACCAAAATTACAAGATTACATCGTTTTTTTGAAACAAAAATTAATCAACAAAAAACTTGGGAAAGAGATGTAGCGAAGAATATTGTCTACTGGATGAACTATATTCCCCTCTCTAATATAGTAAAACTAATATGGTCTAGAAGAACTGCAGAGTTTATGGTCTTGTTCTAGAATTATCCTTACCCTTTCCCCGCTACAGGGTTACCGACAAAGACATCAAAGACGACACATAACTCAAAAATATGACAATTTAAGCTTGATTTTTGGTTTCTGAATTCAATTAAGTATTTTTGTGGTTTGCTAAATGATTAAGCACACAAATAAGCCAGTTTTTGCCTTCAAGGAACCCTGAATGACAGAAAATATAGACTGAATACTATAAAGAACTAAAGAGAAAAGTTTCTACAATTGCACTGAGAGTAAAACAAGGAAGGTCCAGCTAGACCGAATTTAATAAATTGGAAAGATCGCTGAACAACCTGAATCACCAAATCAATGTTAAAGATTCGTGAGGATTCGAATCGGGGATTCAAGATTTTTTGCATTTTTTTTTCGTTCAATAAAATCTTTTACTAAAATGTATTTTACTTTGAAATCAATTTAACTATAAGATGACGCCCATTAAATATTCTTTTAATTCTCTTTGGTGTTAAACAACTTAAGTGATTATGGAAGAAGACATTTTCAATTATTCACCAAGTGTCAATGTTTCGTGGGACACCCTGTAGTTAATTCAGTCCTGACGGGTTTCTTTATTTTTGACTAAGACGATAATTAGATAATAATTAGAGTTCTATTTTTATACAGCACGGTCAATGAGATGAAGTCGCCGACTGTTTGCGTCCTAATTATCTATCTATCAGATAAGGGTCTGCAATGAGACATCTAGCGGCGAAACTATGATCCTGCAAAGTACGCCATTAGAACGGAACTCGTTCATACGTTCGTCAGGAACGGCCTCAGTGTTCATGGAGTGGTTTGTAGTAACTAAGATCTTAGATTTAAAGAGAGTTTTTGCCTTGATGAAAAAATATGTACCGTAGAAACGTTTAATAGGTCACAATTGAATCCTAAAAAAAATCTTTACAATACTGCATTCTCAGCTCAACTACCATTTCTAGCCAGACACTCCCTTTAAATCAAACTGAAATTAATAAAAAGCAAAAACTGAGCTAATTCTGTCGTGTGGCCAATGTTTCATACAGGGTTACCCACTAAGGATAAGACTGTGAAGACGACCCAATACTCTAAAAATATGACAATTTGAAGCTTGAATTTTAGTTTATGCGTTTTATTAGGTATTTTGCTGATTTACTAAATGATTAAGACCAGAAATAAGTCAGTTTTGGCCTGCAAGGACCCCAGAATGAAATAAAACGGACTAAACAAATTCTGTACAATCGTCTCTGAAGTCTCATCTTTGGTGGGTAACCCTGTAAGAGAAATAGTTCTTTAAGCTATTCCTATTTCGACTACTTCTAATTTTACATAATATCCTGCCTCAGCTCTGTAGAATTTCGTATGAAAAGAAAGATTACAAAGACTTAATCCATCTACAGTGTTATAAGGTGTTTTAGTTCGTTAAAAAAAACTTTTTAAAAAGCCTCAAACAATGCACCTCTGTACATAGTTCAGTTTTTTTAAACTATGCAATAATTTATTCTAAAAAGAAAAAAATGCAAAAACGAACAGAATAACGATCGTTAATTAACGTTTTTTTTGTCATAAGCAAATATTTTCAAAAATGTTGATTCTAAACATTTGTATTTTTTACAATATCAGTGAAATTTATTTTGCCATTAAAAATCAAAAATGTCAACCCCCTCAATATTTTTTTCTTGTAAGTATAATTGTATGGCTTTGATTTAAGTCCAATAGAGAGTGAATAATAATAAAGTTCTAGAGGATGGTAAATATCGTCTTCATAATACTTTTTTCTGAGGCTTTATCAAACAATGTTTACGCTCATCAAAGAAGAAACACCAGAAACTCATATATCTGTTTTGATACTGTTCCTTAAATCTGAAACAATGTTTACGCTCATCAAAGAAGAAACACCAGAAACTCATATATCTGTTTTGATACTGTTCCTGAAATCTGAAACAATGTTTACGCTCATCAAAGAAGAAACTCATATATCTGTTTTGATACTGTTCCTTAAATCTGAAACAATGTTTACGCTCATCAAAGAAGAAACACCAGAAACTCATATATCTGTTTTGATACTGTTCCTTAAATCTGAAACAATTTTTACGCTCATCAAAGAAGAAACACCAGAAACTCATATATCTGTTTTGATACTGTTCCTTAAATCTGAAACAATGTTTACGCTCATCAAAGAAGAAACACCAGAAACTCATATATCTGTTTTTGATACTGTTCCTTAAATCTGAAAAAAAGAATGCTTTTTAAAGAATCATCGCTTTGTAGGGAGAAACAATCATTTTGCTGTGCTATTCAGTTTGAGAGTGGAACATGATATTTTTGGTGTTGATTCATGGC